CTGCCAGCCTGATCACCCCTAACCACTCCCCTGCCAGCCTGATCATCCCTAACCACTCCCCTGCCAGCCTGATCACACCCTAAGCACTCCCCTGCCAGCCTGATCACACCCTAAGCACTCCCCTGCCAGCCTGTTTGCCCCTAACTGCCCTCCCCTGCAGGCCTGGTCACCCCTAACTGCCCTCTCCTGAAGGCCAGGTCCCCCCAACTGCTCTCCCCTGTAGCCCTGGGCACCCCGCAACTGCCCTTCCTTGCAGACCTGGTCACCTCCAACTTCCCTCCTCTGCCGGCCTGGTCTCTTCCAACTGCCCTCCCCTGCTGGCCATCTTGTGGCAGCCATCTTGTGTGTTAGCGTGATGGTCAATCTGCATATTACTCTTTTATTAGATAGGATAGAGGCCTGGTGCATGGGTGGGGGCCAGCAGAAGGTGTCCTGGATCAGGGTGGGGGTTCCCTTGGGATGTGGGGCGGCCTGGGCGAGGGGCCTCTGGTCGTTTGCAGGCTGGCCACGCCTCCCCGGTGACCCAAGTGGAGACCCTGGTACCTGGGGTTTATTTATCTTCTATAATTGAAACTTTGTAGCCTTGAGTGGAGGCCTAGGCCTGCAAGGGCAGGCAGAAAGCCTGGCTTCCTCCATTGCCAGGGAAACACAAGCTCGTTCAGCCATCTTGGTTGGGTTAATTTGCATACTTGCTCTGATTGGTTTGTGGGTGTGGCTTGTGGATGTAGTGGAACGATGGTTAATTTGCATATTGCTCTTTTATTAGATAGGATTACAAATAATGAACTACAACGCTCACTAATGTCTGATTACTATAATTGTGTCGTATTTGTTTGCCTTACGTGCAGATGCACCATTTCTCTCCACTAACATCAGCAGCAAATATTTTAGCAGCTGATGGCCACGTCATTAATCTTGGACTGACTTGGTGTGCACAACAAGAAATATTTCGCTTTCGGAGAACAAGAAAAATGGGTTTATTTGCATTACGCTTATTAATTTGTGCAGTTATTCAGTGTCTGGTAAGCTAATGTTCAAGAAATAATATTAATTTTTATTAAAAGGTTCTATTATTTATTTCAGCCATTTGTATTCAGCTTATCTCTATCGAAATAAATCTACATTTCTATGAAAATTAAAGCTTCTGGCCGAAACCGGTTTGGCTCAGTGGTAGAGCGTCAGTCTGCGGACTGGAAGGTCCCAGGTTCGATTCCGGTCAGAGGCATGTACGTTGGTTGCAGGCACATCCCCAGTAGGGGGTGTGCAAGAGGCAGCTGGTCGGTGTTTCTCTCTCATCGACGTTTCTAGCTCTCTATCTCTCTCCCTTCCTCTCTGTAAAAAATCAATAAAAACATATTAAAAAAAAATTAAAACTTCTGTGTTGCAGCCACATACACTTAAATCGTGTTTATTTGGCCCGGGATAGCCTTTGAGTTTGACAAGCTTGTTCTACTTAAAGACACTGGCTCGGGGGTTCTGGGACTGGCCCACGCCCACCTGCTTGCCACACCCTCACTCTTCTCCTTTGCGAGACAGAGGCCTAACACCCAGAGGACAGGAATGCTAGAACCTTCTGGAGAAAGAGCCATGGAGGCCAGTCTCAGGTGAAAGAGGAGGGAAGGGCAGCGCATCCTCTCCCGTTGTCCAGCGCAGACAACTTCCTGCGGTGTGGGGCCGCCGGGCCAGGGGCTGGAGAGGGAGGTGAGAAGGGGCTTGTGGGTTAAAATGCAGGAGTGCAGGCCTCGTCTTCTCGGGAGCCCACAGAGTACAGGAGTGCTCTGAATTCAAGCTCCGAGGAAAGGCATAGACCAGGGGCACAGCCGGCCCCAATCTGCTGCCCCCTCCCACTCTGGACTCACCACACACCCACCTTCTCTTCAGGTGCACGGCAGCACTGCAGTCCTCACCCCACCCCAATGCAGCCCACTCCTGTCCCTCCTGGAACAGCCTCTCATCCCATGCGCCATGCACTCACCTCCCGGCATGCCCAGGCAGCAGCCTCCCTCACCAACCCCGCATGGACCAGCCATCTACTCAGCGGAGACTCCGCCCAGCCAGGCCCACTGGGCTGCCCACACATCCCCCGGCCAACGTCCACCCAGCCCCACAGCCACCGAGATGCTGGCAGGAGCTCTGTGTGCAGTGAGGAAGCGTGCACACCAGCTTGAGCTCAGGGAGAAACTGCTCTGGCCTGAGACCCAGAGGCTCAGGAAAGCCGGTACAAGCTCAGCGAGAGCTTGGGACATTCTCGAGAGAGAGCACGAGCTAGCAAGCAAGGAAGGGGGAGGGAGCGGTGGGTAGCTGATGAGCGGAAGGAGCAGGAAGAGTCCTCAGACATTCGAGAACAGAGAGATGGACGCCAATGGGAAAGGGAGATGGAGAAAGTGGGTGAAGAGGAATGTGTGTGGACGGGCCTGGGAAGGGGGTCGGGGGAAGACTGGGGTGTCAGAGGCGCTCCCAGCGACCTGGGTGGGCTCCCTGCCCCGAGCGCCTGCTCCTGGGTGTATGGAGGCTGCTGTGCGGACAAGGACTGGTTGTGAAGGCCCGATTCCTCCTGAGGAGGCCAAAATGGATGCTGGGGGAGGTGGGGGGCTGAGCAGCAGATGAGCGGTGCCCGCCTGGCCGAGTGTCAGGGCTATAAATAGCCCCGCTGCACCTTCCCTCTCGTGAGCACCTGCTCCCGCAGGCCCGGCTCTCTGTCCGGGCTGCCCCTCTCCCCAGGCCTCCCACCAGACACAGGCATGCTGGCCCGCCCCGCCCCACCGCCCCCGCGCAAGGCCGGGCTCCCGCAGGCACCCCTGGGAGGGCTCCTGGCACCGACCTCAGGGAGGAGCAGGCCAGATTCCAGCCTGCCCCAGCTGTCCCTTCTCCCCAACTGACCCCTCCCCCAAGGGGCCCAGCTCCACACCTCTAATCCTGTCATCTGACCCAGCCCCACCCCAACGGAATTAGCTCCATCCAGCCGCCCTCCTGAGCCCAAAACGGGCACTGTCCTTTAGAGGGTCCAGGAAGCCACCACAAAGGGAAGATGACCTCATGGTGCCTGGCCTGAGCTCTGGGCAGCAGGGCTGGGTGAGCAGCCGCGGCACCATGCTGGCAGGCCCTGGCAGCCCTCTCCATGCCTCCTCCTGTTCTCCTGGCACCCAGGCCCCAGGCCCCAGGACCTTACAGCAGACCTCTGCGCCAGCAGACCACACACCCTGCCCCAGCCGCTCCGGCTCACCAGGCGGCACAGGACACATGGCCAGCTGGGACAGCCCAGCCCACCCGCAGGCCAGCGCAAGGCTCCCACGCCAGCCACCAAACATCCTCATTTGCTCATAAACAGCCACTCAGTGCCGGCAGGGACCTTGAAGGCCCGTCCCCCGTCCCCCGTCCCTCAGGAGGCAGAGTGGAGGCAGGCTGGCCGAGGGGTTGGCCAGGCCAGGACCCTGGAGAGACACAGCTACCAGGGGCAAGCTCTGCTGACCACCCGTGGCCCTCTGGGAGCGGCGGCTGGGAACGACCAGCCTGGCCTGCTCAGGAAGTGCCTCCTCGGAGACTGGACAGCGGGAGTCACCACTTTCTCACTGACTTGGCAGAGGCAGGTGGGCGGGTGGGGGACCTTGAGACCACTGGCCACATGAGCTAGAGGTGGTGCTGTCGCCGGCAGAAGGTGCTGGCAGGCCGCAGGTCCTGGCACTCAGGCTGTGCAGCCAGGAGCAGGAGGGAGAGGTTCCGTGGGCTGAGCCATCAGGCTTCGTGGGGGGGGGGGGGGGGGTACCCAGCGGCTCCCACAGGGCCGTGGGCAGGAGGAGGGCTGCTTTCTGAGACACAGGGGAGGCCTGCTGCGCCGCTGGGGCTTCTGATGGGTCCCTAACCATTGCCTATCGGCAGCACGAAGCTGCTCAGTCCCCTGCAGCCCGCTCGGGTGGGCCGGCCCTGGTGCAGGCAGACCCGCAGCTGACCAGCTGTCAGCCTCTGCCTGTGGCCACAAAGCGGGCTAAGGAGGCGGCAGCGGCGGCGCCGCGGGGTCAGTGATGACACTGGCACTTGCATGGAGGGGCAGTCCAGGCCTACTGCCCCAGAATGGGGAGGATGCGGCCGCATGACGGGGCAGCCAGGCGAAGGGACCCAGCAGGAGGGCGAGGGCCGCAGGAGCGGCTGACCGGCCTCGCCCCGAGGGCTCCCCTTTCACCAGGGAGCGGCCGGGCTCCTGGCGCAGAGGCGGCCCTCCCCGCCCGGAGCCGGCGGCTATCTATAGGGCCCTAATCCCTCCCGCCCCGCGGGGGACAGCTGCCGCTCCGCCGCCGCCCACTCCTCAGCCGGCCCGGCCCGGCACCCTCCATCGCCGTCGCTCGGGGCTCAAGCCTTAGGGGCGCCGGCCGGGCCGTCCCCAGGAACAGGCACCGGGGCGCAGGCTAGGCGGCCCCCGCGGAGCACAGCCCGCGGCTCACGTTGCACAGTCCGGGGGGAGGGGCGACCGACCGGAGCCAGGGCCGCCGGGCCCGGGCCGAGCGAGCGACCCCGCCGCCCGCCCGCGCGCCCGCCCCGCCCGCCGCGCTCCGCCGGGGCTCCGGCCCGCGCCCGCCGCCCGGCCCGCGCCCGCGCCCCTCCCGGCGCCGGAAACGCGGAGCCCCGGGCCACGCAGCCCTCGGGCCCGGCACTCCCAGGCCGCCGGCGCCCGGGGAGCCCAGCCCGCACCGCGGAGCGGCGGAGGGCGGCGGCGGCGGCGCGGGGAAGGGGCCTCGGAGACCCCGCCGCCGAGGACCCGCGGCCCGGCCGCCGGGGCGCCACCCCCCGCTCGGCGGCCCTGGGCCCCGGGCGCTCCGGACCTGGCGCCGCGGGGCCGGCGTGCGGAGGGCGCGGCGGGAGGGCGCCGGCGGAGGGGCGGCGCCGCTGGCCGCGGGGCCGGGCAGGCGCGGGCCGGGAGCCCGGGGCCGGGGCCGGCGGGACCCTACCCCGGGGGCCGCGGGCGGCGGGGGGGACGGCGCCGGCGGCGGGGCCGCGCTCCCGCTCACCTTCTCCTGCGCGCGCGTGAGCTTCTTCTGCATGCTGCTGGCGAACTTCCCCGCCGTCACCCCCTTGCTGCCCATCTCCGCCATCGCGCCGCCGCGCCGCGGGCGCCGAGCTCCGCCGCCGCTCCGCCGCTCCGCCGCCGCTCCGGTCGCCGCGCGCCGAGCGGACACCGCGCGGGGGCGGGGCGAGCCGGAGCCACGCGACGCGGCCGGGGCGGGGCGGGCGGGCGGCCAGCTCCCGCGGACCGGCCGGCGGAGGCCCTCCGGCGGGAGCCGGGGCGGGGGCGGCGCACGGACGCGCTGCCTGGGCCGCTTCCCTCCCGGGATCGCCCCCGCGGGCCGGGTGCCGGCACCGCGCTTTCCCGGGCAGTGCGGTGGGACCCCGGAGCCGCCTCCGCCCGCTCTGAGGCTCCACCCCGGCCTCCGGGCGGCCGCTCACCGGCGCCCGCAGGGTGCTCTGGGGGCGCGGGCGAGTTCCCCTTTCTGCCCGGCAGAACCTGCCAGCGGGCCCCGGCCCCGAACCTGCCAGCGGGCCCCGGCCCGGGTGCGGGAGCCGCTCCACAGCCGCCAGCATTGCTGGTGCGCCCGTCCCGCTCAGCGCTGCCCTCAGTCTCTGTGCAGCCTGTGATGTGGGTGCTGCTATCAACTGCACCAACAAAGCAATAGTTACTATTGTACCGATTACCCCATCAATAACGATGGGATTATTATTCCATCTTACAAACGAGGCAGAGTTCTGGCCTCGGGGCTTTTGCCCACTATACCCTGGGGGTCTCCTCTGCCCGCAGGGAGAGAAAGAGTTAATGACCACTGCTTAACGGGAAGATGAGTCACTGCCAACCAACTTTGCCAACAGACCACTGGCGCGCATTCTACATACATACACACAGGTTGGGGCAAAAGTAAGGCTACGGTTGTTCATATGGAACATGAGAGGTTTGCGAAGCAGAAAACAAGACAGAGTCCAGGCGATTAAAAGGGGAGGTTTTAATCTGCGCTCCCGGCCGAAGCTCGCTGGTCCCAGGGTGGGCCAGGGAAGTTCCTCCATAAGGGGCACAGAAACTTCTTTTATCCAGCTGATTGGTGAGGGGAGGGCGGAGGGCACGAGAGGGGTGGAAATCCTGCCTGGGCCAGGGGTCTAGGAAGGCCCAGTTATCTCTGTCACCATCTACCTTGCAGATGCTTGCATCAGCTCTGGGCTTCCTCCATGCCTCGACCTAACAGAAAATAATACAGTAATCTATATGTATCTATATATATAAAAGCCTAGAACCAAGACCAAAAGACCAGTCGCTATGACGTGCACTGACCATCAGGGGGCAGACGCTCAATGCAGGACCTGCCCCTGATGGTCAGTGCGCTCCCACAGCCAACCTCCCCTCTGCCGACGGTCCCTCCCCCAGCCGGCCCCAGTCGCCCCTATGGCAGGCCAGGCCGAGGGATCCCACCTGTACATGAATTTGTGCTCTGAGACTCTAGTTAATAAATAATATAGGAATAAACTGTTTCACTGACAACTAGAAACCTACTTTTGCCCCACCCTGTATGTATTCCACCCAAACCCCTCTCCCAAATTCTACCAGGTCTTTTAAAGAGACCACATTGCTCCTCAGAGCGGTCCCAGGACTGTGGGCTGAGTTGAGTGGAGAGAGTCGCCTCGGAGGCCCTGCTGAGGATGAGGAGCCTGGACAGGAGCCAGGCAGGGGTTCCTGGCAGCAGCAAGAGCTCATAAGCCACACGCCCTACACAAGTGGAGAAACGGGCCCAAAGTGTAGAGGTTCAGCCTGGATCCCCAGCAGGCTCTCTCTTCCCTCTGCCTGGGAGGCCCCTGCACTCTGGATCCTCCTGGTCCTCCCACTGATGCTCAGCACCATGAAGTGAGAAATTTTTTTTCAATATCATTTTATTGATTTTAGACAGAGAGGGAGAGGGAGAGACAGAAACATGATGAGAGAGGATCATTGATTGGTTGCCTTCTGCACACTCTACACTGGGGGTCCAGACCACAACCTGAGCAAGTGCCCTGACCAGGAATTGAATCATGACCAGCTGGTTCACAGGTCAACGCTTAACCATTGAGCTGTGCTGGCCAGACTTTTAAAAAATCTTTATTGTTGAAAGTATTACATACATCCCTTTTTATCCCCATTGACCCCTTCTAGCCGGCCTCCACCCTCCACCCCAGGCCTTCACCACCCTGTTGTCTGTGTCCATGGATTACACACATACACATACAAGTTATTTGGTTGATCACTACCCTCCCCTGCCTTCCCTCTGAGATTCTGCAATTGGTTCCATGCTTCTATGTCTCTGACTGTTTTGTTCCTCAGATTATTTTGTTCATTAGAGTCCACATATGAGTGAAATCATGTAATACTTGTCTTTCTCTGGCTGGTTTATTCTGCTTAGCATGATGCTCTCCAGGTCGCTGTCTCAAAGGGTAAGATGCTGTCTCAAAGGGTAAGAGATCCTTCTTTCTTACTGCTGCATAGTATTCCGTGGTGTGAATGTACCACAGCTTTTTAACCACTCGTCTGCTGATTGGCACTGGGGCTGCTTCCAGATCCTAGCTACAGTAAATTGTGCTGCTATGCACATAGGGGTATACATTCTTTCTGATTGGTGTTTCGAGTTTCTTAGGATATATTCCTAGAAGTAGAGTCACTGGTCATATAGCAGTTCCATATTTAATTTTTTGAGGAAACTCCATACTGTTTTCTAAGTGGCTGCACTAGGGTTCCCTTTTTCCACATCCTCACCATACTTTGCTGATTGCTTGATGGAGCCATTCTGACAGGTGTGAAGTGATATCTCATTTTGATTTGCATCTCTCTGATAATTGGTGACTTTGAGCATTTTTTCATATCTCCTGGCCATTTGTATGTCCTATTTGAAGAAGTGTCTATTTAGATCCTTTGCCCAATTTTTAATTAGAATGTTTGTCTTCCTTTTGTTAAATTGTATGAATTCCTTATATATTTTCATGTAACAGGCGTATCATTGCCAAATATGTTCTCCCATACAGTGGGGTTCCTTTTCGTTTTGTTGCTGGTTTCTTTTGCTATGCAGAGCTTACTTTAATGTAGTCCCATTTATTTATTTTTTCCTTACTTTCCTTTGCCATAGAAAATGTGTCCATAAACATATCACTAAGAGAAATGTCTGATATTTTACTGCTTATGTTTTCTTCTAGGATTTGTATGGTCTCATGACTTACATTTTTTTATTAAATTATTATCTGTGTACATGTTTTAACATTGCTTCCCCCCTACATACCCTCCCTCCCCAGAGTTTTGTGTCCATTGGTTGTACTTATATGCATGTATACAAGTCCTTCGGTTGATCTCTTATCTCCCCCAGATCTCCCTACCCTTGACAGTCATGACTTACATTTAAGTCTGTTATCCATTTTGAGTTTATTCTTGTGTATGATGTAAGTTGGTGGGCTAGTTTCTTTTTTCTTTCTTTCTTTCTTTTTTTTTTTTTCTTCATGTAGCTGTCCAATTTTCCCAACAACTTTTATTAAAGAGATTGTCTTGATTACATTGTACGTTATTGTCCAATATTAATGGAGTGTAATAGCTTGGGTCAATTTCAGGGGTCTCTGTTCTGTTCCACTTACCTATATGCATGTTCTTGTGCCAGTACCAGGCTGTTTTCATTACAGTGGTATAACTTCATAGCTGGTATTGTGATTCCTCCAACTTTGCTCTTCTTTCTCAAGATTGCTGCAGATATTTGGGATCTTTTTTGTTTTCATATAAATTTTTGAAGTATTTGTTCTAAATCTGTGAAATATGCTGTTGGTATTTTAATAGGGATTGCATTGAGAAGAACGGGCATTTTAATGATGCTAATTCTACCATCCCAAAGAACATGGGATATTCTTTCACTTGTTTATATTGTCCTCTATTTCTTTCTTTCTTTCTTTCTTTCTTTCTTTCTTTCTTTCTTTCTTTCTTTCTTTCTTTTTTTTTTTCCAATGCCCTGAGTACAAGTCTTCTACCTCCTTGGTTAAGTTTATTCCTAAGTATCTTAATTTTTTTATTGCAATAGTAAATAGGGTTGTATTTTTTCTTTTCATTTCTCTTTCTGAGAATTAATTATCGGTATATAAAAATGACATCAATTTTGGGGCATTGATTTTGCATCCTGCTACATTGCCAAATTTATTTATTAAATCTGGAAGTTTTTTCATGGAGTCTTTAGGGTTTTCTATGTACAATATCGTGCCATCTGTGAATAATGATATTTTTACTTCCTCTTTTCCAATTTGGATGCCTTTTATTTCTTCTTCTTGTCTGATTGCTGTGGCTAGGACTTCCAGTACTATGTTGAGTAAAAGCGGTAAAAGTGGTCATTGCTGTCTTGTTCCTGCTCTTAGGGGAAATGGTTCTAGCTTTTGTCCTTTAAGTATGATATTTGCTGTAGATTTGTCATATATGGCTTTAATCATGTTGAGATATGACCCCACTATTCCCACTTTACTGAGAGCTTTTGGTTTTCTTTAAATGCTGTTGGATTTTGTCAAATGCCTTTTCTGTATCTATTGGTATGGATCTTGTAATTTTGGTCATTCAATTTGCTTATGTGATGTGTCACATTTACTGATTTATAACTATTGTATCAGCCTTGCATCCCTGAAATAAATCCCATTTGGTCATGGTGTATGATCTATTTTTAATATGTTGCTGGATCTGATTTGCTAATATTTTGTTGAGGGGATTTTAGCGTCTATGTTCATCAGGGATATTAGCCTGTAAGTCTCTTTCTTTGTAGTGTCTTTATCTGGTTTTGGAATTAGGATAATGCTGGCCTCAAAAAAAGAGTTTGGAAGTGTCCTTCCTCTAGGATTTACTGAAGCAGTGTGAGTATAGGTGTTAGTTCCTTGAATGTTGGTAAAACACCCCTGTGAAGCTGTCTGGACCAGGACTTTTGTTTCCTGGGAGTTTTCTTCTTATTACTGCTTCAATTTCATCAATTGTTATTGTTCTATTCAGGCTTTCTGATTCTCCCTGATTCAGTTTTGGGAGATTGCATTTTTCTAGGAATTTGTCCATTTAATCCACATTGTTCAGCTTGTTGGC